AAATAATATTTTCCAAATTTTATAGAAGTAATAAATACAAAAGTTGGTATTATAGTAAAAATTTCTTTGATAGGATTTAGGTTTACACAACTTTAATATAACTTAATTAGTAGTAAGTAATTTCCTTTGCACCATTGTTTATAAAAATGTGTTTTAAAGCGGAGCGGGACAAAGGGATCCGAACAAAAAATTCCAGGGATTCCCAGAACCGAGACTCCCCCAAAACCCCACCTTGGCCCCCCAAAATCGGCGGCAGTGTCAGGGCCAGCAGCGGCAGCAGCCGGGGGAGGCTCCGCGCTCCGTCCGTGGCGCTCCGGGCACACCGGGCAGGGTCGGTGCTGCTCCCAGGAACGCGGATCCGAACTGGGGGCACTGGGAACGGGGGAGCAGCACCCCAAAAAGCGCTCAGCCAATGGGAGAGCGGAGTTTAATGAGGCCGGGTAGAGGGTGTTGGCGGGTAGAGGGTTAAAAAATTGAGCTCCCAAAGAAATTCTGGCGAATCAGAAAAAGGATCGGAAATTGAGTCATCAGTTCCTGGGTAGAGGGTCTGGAAACTCGCACCCCGGACGGAACCGGCCAATTAGAGAGCCCAAAAATCACTTCGGCCAATTAAAGACAGGCATAAAAAACCTCCAACCAATGAAAGCACTGCCAAAAACCACGCCCGCCCAATCAGGGAGCGCGTCCCTCATGACCCCGCGCCGCTCCGGGCTGGTTCTCGCAGTGGAGCGCGGTTGGTTCGGGGCGGCGGTCGCTGGCCATGGGGCTCGGGGCGGCAGCCGGGGCCCTGCTGGTGGCACTGGGGGTGCTGGGAGCCCCCCCGGGTGCGGGCGCGGAGCTCTCGGGTGAGCGGGGGGCGGGAGGCGCTGGGCCAGGGGGGGAGAAGGGGGAAAAGGGGGCGAAGGGGGGAGGCCGGAATGGAGGGGGAGGAGGAGGGGACCCCCCAAAGGGAGAGCGGGAGGGGCTGAGGGGTGGGGGGAGGGGAGGGAGGGGTGGGAGAGGGTGGGGAAGGGGGAAAAGGGGAGGGGGAACCCCAAAAATGAGCGGAGGGGGCTGGGGATTGGGGGATTAGTGGGAAAATGGGGAAATGGGAGCCCAAAAGTGATTTGGGGAGCGGCCGGAGGTGGGAGGGGAGAGGATGAGGAAGGGGAAATGGGGGAAGGGCGGTAATGAGGAAGCGGCAGCGCGGGCAGGAGGGTCCCATGGCGGCCGTGGGGCACAGGGGGTGCGGAGTGGGGATCCGGGGTGGGCCCGGAGCTCTGGGGGTGCTGCTGGGGGTGCTGGGGGGGCACTGCTGAGCTGTGTGCTGCACTCACAGGGGTGTTCCAGTTCATGGGATCGTCCGAGTGTCACTTCATTAACGGCACGGAGAAGGTGAGGTTCGTGCAGAGGTACATCTACAACCGGCAGACCTGGGCGATGTTCGACAGCGACGTGGGGCACTTCGTGGGGTTCACCCCACTTGGGGAGAGGAATGCCAAGTACTGGAATAGCAACCCGGTAATTATGGAGAGGCTACGGACTTCGGTGGACTGGCTCTGCCGGGTCAGCTACGAGGTGTCCACCCCGTTCCTCACGGAGCGTCGAGGTCAGCGCGGGGCAGAGCGTGTCCCCTCGGGCCCTGCCCTGCCAGTGACCATCCCACTCAATCCCAGTCCCTTCCTGTATATTCCCAGTTTCCTCACAGTCCAGCCCAGTCCATTCCCAGTCCCTCCAAGTATATTCCCACTGCCATCCAGTCCCTCCCAGCCCATTCCCAGCCCCTCCCAGTCAAGCACAGTCCATCCCAGTCCATTCTCAATCCGTTCCCCGTCCATCCCAGTCCCTCCCAGTCTATTCCCAGTTCAATCCCAGTTCACTCTCAGACACCCACCCACTCTCCAAGTAAACCCGATCCCCGCCCACCTCTCTCAGTGCCAACCCACATCCTCCCAGTCTATTCCCAGTCTATCCGAGTCGTTCCCAGTCCTTTCCCAATCCGTCCCAGTCCATTCCCAGTCTCGCCTTGTGCCATCCCAGGGCCATCCCACTCATACTCAGCCCATTTCCAGTCCATTCCCAATCCCTCCCAGTTCATTCCCAGTGCCTCCCAGTCCCTCCAAGAGTATTCCCAGTCCATCAAGTCCATGGCAGTCCCTCCCAGTCCATCCGAGTCCCTCCCGGTGCCCCCCCTCGCGTCCAATTCTGCGACGCGTGAAGCTGCCGCTTTTCAGCCAATCAGATCTCGTCTCTGCCACGACTCCCCTGTTGCCAGGCAGACCCGCAGCGCCGAGGGCCCCGCGCTGGACTCGGCCTCCCAGTGCAGCGCACTTCATTCCCAGTTCCTCCCAGTGCCACCCAGATCCCTCCCAGTGCCATCCCAGTCCCTCCCAGACCACCTCCAGTTCCTCCCCAGTCCCTCCCAGTACATTTCCAGTCTTTTCCCATTTCATTCGCAGTTCATTCTCAGACCTCCACCCTCTCTCCCAGTGCAACCCCATCCCCTCCCACATCTCCCAGTGGCACTCAACTCCATCCCAGTCAATCCTAGTCTCTCCCAGTCCATTCCCAGTCCATTCCCAGTCCCTCCCCGTCCTTGCCAGTCCATTCCAAATAAATCCCAGTCCATCCACAGTGCACCCCAGTAGATTCGCACTCCCTCTCAGTCAATCACAAGTCACCTCCCAGTCCATTCCTGTCCCAGCCCGGTCCATCCCAGTCCCTCCCAGCCCCTCCCAGTCTATTCCCAGTCCCTCCCCAGCCCAGCCCAGCCCTCCCCTCTCTCTCCCAGTGCCACCCAGCTGATCCCAGTGTGTCCCCGCTCTCTCTCTCTCTCTCTCTGTCTCTGCCAGTGCCCCCCAGCGTGTCCATCTCGCTGGTGCCCGCCTCGAGCTCCCAGCCCGGCCCCGGCCGCCTGCTCTGCTCCGTGATGGATTTCTACCCTGCTGCCATCCAGGTGAGGTGGTTCCAGGGCCAGCAGGAGCTGTCGGAGCACGTGGTGGCCACCGACGTGGTGGCCAACGGGGACTGGAGCTACCAGCTGCTGGTGCTGCTGGAAACGCCGCCCCGGCGCGGGCTGAGCTACAGCTGCCAGGTGGAGCACGTCAGCCTGGAGCAGCCGCTGAGGCGGCACTGGGGTACGGGGGAGCCCCTGGGGGCGCTGGCAGAGGCGCTGGGCTGTGCTGGGAGGCACTGGGAGGGAGGTGGAGAGAGGCGGGCTGGGAGTGGGAGAGGGGCTGGGGGCTGGGCAAGGGCTGGGCAGGGGTTTGGGGGATGCTGGGGAGGGTGGGGTGGGGTTGGGGGGTGCTGGTGGGTACTGGGAGGGAGTTTGGGGGCGCTGGGTGTGACTGGGAGGGAGTTTGGGGGCGCTGGGTGTGACTGGGAGGGAGTTTGGGGGACCCGGGTGTGACTGGGAGGGAGTTTGGGGCTCCTGGGGCGCTGGGGCGCAACTGGGAGGGGGCTGTGGGATGCTGAGAGGGGCGGGAGGGGCTTTGGTGGCTCCTGTTGAGGCCCAAAAGGGATCGGGGGGAGGTTTCAGGGGGTCCTGGCTGAGCCGGGGGCCACAGGGAGGGCGCTGGGAGGGGCTGGGGGTGTCGGCGAGAGGTTTTGGGGGCGCTGAGCCCTGCGGACCCCCCAGAGATGGCGCCGGACGCCGGCCGCAGCAAGATGCTGACGGGCATCGGGGGCTTGGTCTTGGGCTCGGTCTTCGTGGCGCTGGGGCTCGGCTTCTACGTGCGCAAGAAGGTGAGGGCGGGTGCCGGGGGCGGCGTGGCCGTCGTGGCGGAGCCCCGTGCGCGCTCCCGCCGGGCCCCCAGCCCGGTGTCACCCCCTTTTCTGTGCCCACAGAGCTCCTGAGGCGGCGGCGGCCGCAGCCCCTCCCCGTGGGCTCGGGCCCGGCCGGGACCCCCCGCTCCGTCCCCGCTGCGCTGATTCTGGGGGGGTCCCGTGTCCCCCCCAGCGCCGCTGGCGCTCTGCCCCCGCCCAGTGCCCGCTGCCAGCGCTCCCAATAAAGCTTCCCAGCTGGGCCCGGGGCCGTTTGTTGGGGGGCGCTGGGGAGGGGTCTGGGGGGACGGGGGGCGATGGGACGGATTTGGGCAGAGGGAGGGGGAGAAAGGGTGGGGGCTGGGCCCGGGGGGAGCGTGGGGAGGAGGAGGAGGAGGAGGAGGAGGAGGAGGAGGAGGAAGAGCTGGGATTATATAGGAGGAGGGAAGAGGAGGAACCCCAAAGCAAAAGACGGACAGATGAAGTCGAGCGGGCAGAGGAGGACGACTCGAATAGGATTGAATCTAAATAATATTTTCCATATTTTATAGAAGTAATAAATAAAAAAGTTGGTATTATAGTAAATATTACTTTGATAGGATTTAGGTTTACCCAACTTTAATGTAACTTAATTAGTAGTAAGTAATTTCCTTTACACCATTGTTTATAAAACTGTGTTTCTAAAGCGGAGCGGGACAAAGGGATCCGAACAAGAAATTCCAGCGATTCCCAGAACCGGGACCCCCCCAAAACCCCACCTTGACCCCCAGAATCAGGGGCAGGGTCAGGGCCAGCAGCGGCAGCAGCCGGGGGAGGCTCCGCGCTCCGTCCGTGGCGCTCCGGGCACACCGGGCAGGGTCGGTGCTGCTGCCAGGAACGCGGATCCGAACTGGGGGCACTGGGAACGGGGGAGCAGCACCCCAAAAAGCGCTCAGCCAATGGGAGAGCGGAGTTTAATGAGGCCGGGTAGAGGGTGTTGGCGGGTAGAAGATTAAAAAATTGAGCTCGCTGAGAAATACTGGCCAATCAGAAAAAAGATCGTAAAGGAGTCATCAGTTGCTGGGCAGAGGGTCTGAAAATCGGGCTCCAAACTCACCGGCCAATTAGAGAGCGCAAAAATCACTTCGGCCAATTAAAGAGAGGCAAGAAAAAACCCCCAACCAATGAAAGCGCTGCCAAAAACCACGCCCGACCAATCAGGGAGCGCGTCCCTCATGACCCCGCGCCGCTCCGGGCTGGTTCTCGCAGTGGAGCGCGGTTGGTTCGGGGCGGCGGTCGCTGGCCATGGGGCTCGGGGCGGCAGCCGGGGCCCTGCTGGTGGCACTGGGGGTGCTGGGAGCCCCCCCGGGTGCGGGCGCGGAGCTGTCGGGTGAGCGGGGGGCGGGAGGCGCTGGGCCAGGGCGGGAGAAGGGGGAAAAGGGGGCGAAGGGGGGAGCCCGGAATGGAGGGGGAGGAGGAGGGGTCCCCCCAAAGGGAGAGCGGGAGGGGCTGAGGGGTGGGGGGAGGGGAGGGAGGGGTTGGAGAGGGTGGGGAAGGGGGAAAAGGGGAGGGGGGACCCCAAAACTGAGCGGGAGGGGGCTGGGGATTGGGGGATTGGTGGGAAAATGGGGAAATGGGAGCCCAAAAGTGATTTGGGGAGCGGGCAGAGGTGGGAGGGGAGAGGATGAGGTAGGGGAAATGGGGGAAGGGCGGCAAAGAGGAAGCGGCAGCGCGGGCAGGAGGGTCCCATGGCGGCCGTGGGGCACAGGGGGTGCGGAGTGGGGATCCGGGGTGGGCCCGGAGCTCTGGGGGTGCTGCTGGGAGTGCTGGGAGGGCACCCGCTGAACTCTGTGTGCTGCACTCATAGGGGTGCTCCAGTTCATGGGAAGCCGCGAGTGTCACTTCATTAACGGCACGGAGAAGATTATGTTCGTGGACAGGTACATCTACAACCGGGTGCAGTTTGCGATGTTCGACAGCGACGTGGGGCACTTCGTGGGGTTCACCCCCTTTGGGGAGAAACAGGCCCAGTACTGGAACAGCGACCCGGGTAGTCTGGATCACGCACGGACTGCGGTGGACTGGTACTGCCGGCCCAACTACGAGGCGTCCCGCCCGTTCATCACGGAGCGCCGAGGTGAGCGCGGGGCAGAGCGTGTCCCCTCGGGCCCTGGCCTGCCAGTGACCATCCCAGTCAATCCCAGTCCCTACCAGTCCCTTCCAGTCCATTCCCTGTCCAGTCTCAATTCATCCTAGTCTATACCTCTCTCTCCCAGTCTCTCCCAATCCCTCCAGTCCATTCTGAGTCCCTTCCAGTCCATTCCCACTTTGTCCCATTCCATCCCAGTCCCACCCAGTCTGTTCCCAGTCCATTCCCAGTCCCCTCCAAGTCCATTCCCAGTCCCATCCAAGATCATCCCAGTCCATTCCCTGGCCATTCCCATTCCATCACAGTCTATCTCGTTCTTTCCCAGTCCCTCTCAGTCCATGCCAATCCTCCAGTCCATTCCCAGTTCATCCCAGTCCCTCCGAGTCCTTCCCATTTCATTCCTAGTCCATCCAAGTCCATTCCCATTTCACTCTCTGACTTCCACACTCTCTCCCAGTGCCGAGTTCCCCTCCCATCTTTCTCAGTGCAACTCCAGTCCATTCCCAGTGCCTCCCACTCCGTCGCAGTCCCACCCAGCCCCTCCAACTCAATTCCCAGTCTATTCCCAGTCCATTCCCAGTTCACTCTCAGATCTCCACACACTCTCTCAGTAACCCCCATCCCCTCCCACCTCTCTCAGTGCTAACCCAGTTCCTCCCAGTCTATTCCCAGTCCATCCCAGTCGCTCCTACTCCTTTCCCAGTCCATCCCCGTCCATTCCCAGTCCAACCCTCTGCCATCCCACTCATATTCAGCCCATTCCCAGCCCATTCCCATCCCTCCCAGTTAAATCCCAGTGCCTCCCAGTCCCTCCAAGTGTATTCCCAGTCCATCAAGTCCACCCCAGTCCATCCCAGTCCATTTCCAGTCAGCCCCAGTCCCTCCCAGTGCCCCCCTGCGCGTCCATTTCAGTGACGCGTGAAGCTGACGCTTCTCAGCCAATCAGAACTCGCCGGTTCACGACTCCCCTGTTGCCAGGCAGACCCGCAGCGCCGAGTGCCCCGCGCTGGACTCGGCCTCCCAGCGCCGCGCGCTTCATTCCCAGTTCCTCCCAGTGCCACCAAAATCCCTCCCAGTGCCATCCCAGTCCCTCCCAGACCATCTCAAATTGCTCCCCCCAGTCCCTCCCAGTCCATTTCCAGTCTGTTCCCAATTCATTCCCAGTTCACTCTCAGACCTCCACTCTCTCTCCGAGTTCCAGCCATTCCCTCCCATCTCTCCCAGTGTCAACCCAATAAATCCCAGTCCCTCCCAGTCCTCCCCAGTTCATTCACAGTCCATTCTCAGTCCCACCTAGACCCTCCAACTCAATTCCCAATCTATTCCCAGTTCATTCCCAGTTTATTTCCACACCTCCACCCTCTGTCCCAGTACACCCCATCCCCTCCCACTTCTCTCAGTATCACCCAAGTCTCTCCCAGTCTATTCCCAGTGCCTCCCAGTATATTGCCAGTCCATCCCAGTCCCTCCCAATGCTATTCCCAGTCCTTCCAACTCCCTCCAAGCTAATTCCCAGTTGATTTCCAGTTCATTCCCAGTTCATGGCCAGACCTGCACCCTCCCTGCAGTGCCCTCTATCCCCACTCACCTTTCCCAGAATTTCCCAATCCACACCAGTCCCTCGCGATCCACTTCCGGTTCATCCCAGTCCACCCCTGTCCATCCCCAATCAATCACAGTCCATCCCCAGTCCACCCCAGTGGATTCCCAGTCCCTCTCAGTCAATTTCAAGTCACCGCTCAGTCCATTCCTGGTCCACCCCAATCCATCCCAGTCCCTACCAGTCCATTCCCAGTTCCTCCCAGTGCTCCCAGTCCATTCGCAGTCCGTCCCAGTCCCTCCCAGTCCATCCCAGTCCCTCCCAGCCCTCCCCTGTCTCTCCCAGTGCCCCCCAGCTGATCCCAGTGTGTCCCCGCTCTCTCTCTCTCTCTCTGTCTCTGCCAGTGCCCCCCAGCGTGTCCATCTCGCTGGTGCCCGCCTCGAGCTCCCAGCCCGGCCCCGGCCGCCTGCTCTGCTCCGTGATGGATTTCTACCCTGCTGCCATCCAGGTGAGGTGGTTCCAGGGCCAGCAGGAGCTGTCGGAGCACGTGGTGGCCACGGACGTGGTGGTCAACGGGGACTGGAGCTACCAGCTGCTGGTGCTGCTGGAAACGCCGCCCCGGCGCGGGCTGAGCTACAGCTGCCAGGTGGAGCACGTCAGCCTGGAGCAGCCGCTGAGGCGGCACTGGGGTACGGGAGAGCCCCTGGGGGCGCTGGCAGAGGCGCTGGGCTGTGCTGGGAGGCACTGGGAGGGAGGTGGAGAGAGGCGGGCTCGGAGTGGGAGAGGGGCTGGGGGCTGGGCAAGGGCTGGGCGGGGATTTGGGGGATGGTGGGGAGGGTGGGATGGGGTTGGGGGGTGCTGGTGGGTACTGGGAGGGAGTTTGGGGGTACCGGGTGTGAATGGGAGGGAGTTTGGGGGTGCTGGGTGTGACTGGGAGGGAGTTTGGGGACGCTGGGTGTGACTGGGAGGGAGTTTGGGGGTCCTGGGGCGCTGGGGGGCAACTGGGAGGGGGCTGTGGGATGCCGAGAGGGACGGGAGGGGCTTTGGTGGCTCCTGTCGAGGCCCAAAAGGGATCGGGGGGAGGTTTCAGGGGGTCCTGGACGGGCCGAGGGCCACAGGGAGGGCGCTGGGAGGGGCTGGGGGTGTCGGCGAGAGGTTTTGGGGGCGCTGAGCCCTGCGGACCCCCCAGAGATGGCGCCGGACGCCGGCCGCAGCAAGATGCTGACGGGCATCGGGGGCTTGGTCTTGGGCTCGGTCTTCGTGGCGCTGGGGCTCGGCTTCTACGTGCGCAAGAAGGTGAGGGCGGGTGCCGGGGGCGGCGTGGCCGCCGTGGCGGAGCCCCGTGCGCGCTCCCGCCGGGGCCCCCGGCCCGGTGTCACCCCCTTTTCTGTGCCCACAGAGCTCCTGAGGCGGCGGCGGCCGCAGCCCCTCCCCGTGGGCTCGGGCCCGGCCGGGACCCCCCGCTCCGTCCCCGCTGCGCTGATTCTGGGGGGGTCCCGTGTCCCCCCCAGCGCCGCTGGCGCTCTGCCCCCGCCCAGTGCCCGCTGCCAGCGCTCCCAATAAAGCTTCCCAGCTGGGCCCGGGACCGTTTGTTGGGGGGCGCTTGGGAGGGGTCTGGAGGGGCGGGGGGCGATGGGACGGATTTGGGCAAAGGGAGGGGGAGAAAGGGTGGGGGCTGGGCCCGGGGGGAGCGGGAGGAGGAGGAGGAGGAGGAGGAGGAGAAGGAGAAGGAGAAGGAGAAGGAGAAGGAGAAGGAGAAGGAGAAGGAGAAGGAGAAGGAGAAGGGGAAGGATTTGGTGGGAGTAGAAGTGTGGAGGGAGGAGGAGGAACCCAAACAAGGGGGAGGAGAGAGGAAGAGGACCGGCCCAAAGAGCACGAACCTAAAGGGATTAATTTTAATCAATACGTTTGATAATTTTAGTGGTATTAAATCAATAAATTAGTGCTATAATAATGTTACAATATTATAATGTAGGTTTACATAATTTCATTACTATTGAAATTCTAGTTAATAATTTCCTTGACTACAGGGTTAATATAATTGTGTTTCCAAACCGGAGCGGTACAAAGGGATACGAACAGAAAATTCCAGCGCACCCCAAATGCGGGACCCCTCCAAAATCCCCTCCCTGGACCCCAAAAATCGGGGGCAGGGTCAGGGCCAGCAGCGGCAGCAGCCGGGGGAGGCTCCGCGCTCCGTCCGTGGCGCTCCGGGCACACCGGACAGGGTCGGTGCTGCTCCCAGGAACGCGGATCCGAACTGGGGGCACTGGGAACGGGGGAGCAGCACCCCAAAAACCCCTCAGCCAATGGGAGAGCGGAGTTTAATGAGGCCGGGTAGAGGGTTTTGGCGGGTAGAGGGTTAATAAATTGAGCTCCCTAAGAAATTCTGGCGAATCAGAAAAAAGAGCAGAACTTGGTCACTAGTTGCTAGGTAGAGGGTCTGGAAATCGGGCTTCAAACTCACCGGCCAATGAGAGAGCGCAAAAATCACTTCGGCCAATTAAAGAGAGGTCAAAAAAAACCCCAACCAATGAAAGCACTGACAAAAACCATGCCCGACCAATCAGGGAGCGCGTCCTTCATGACCCCGCGCCGCTCCGGGCTGGTTCTCGCAGTTGAGCGCGGTTGGTTCGGGGCGGCGGTCGCTGGCCATGGGGCTCGGGGCGGCAGCCGGGGCCCTGCTGGTGGCACTGGGGGTGCTGGGAGCCCCCCCGGGTGCGGGCGCGGAGCTGTCGGGTGAGCGGGGGGCGGGAGGCGCTGGGCCAGGGGAGGGAGAAGGGGGAAAAGGGGAGGGGAGACCCCAAAACTGAGCGGGAGGGGGTGGGGATTGGGGGATTGGTGGGAAAATGGGGAAATGGGAGCCCAAAAGTGATTTGGGGAGCGGGCGGAGGTGGGAGGGGAGAGGATGAGGAAGGGGAAACGGGGGAAGGGCGGCAAAGAGGAAGCGGCAGCGCGGGCAGGAGGGTCCCATGGCGGCCGTGGGGCACAGGGAGTGCGGAGTGGGGATCCGGGGTGGGCCCGGAGCTCTGGGGGTGCTGCTGGGGGTGCTGGGGGGGCACCGCTGAGCTGTGTGCTGCACTCACAGGGGTGCTCCAGGAGTTGGTAAAGCAGGAGTGTCACTTCTTTAACGGCACGGAGAAGGTGAGGTACGTGGTGAGGGCCATCTACAACCGGCTGCAGGACTTGATGTTCGACAGCGACGTGGGGCACTACGTGGGGTTCACCTCCTTGGGGGAGAGAATCGCCCAGCGCTGGAACAGCGACCCGGCCATACTGGAGAACGCACGGGCTCAGGTGGACAGGTGCCGGTACAACTACGAGGCGTCCCGCCCGTTCAGCGTGGAGCGCCGAGGTGAGCGCCGGGCAGAGCGTGTCCCCTCGGGCCCTGCCCTGCCAGTGACCATCCCAGTCAATCCCAGTCCCTACCAGTCCTTCCAGTATATTCCCAGACCCTCCCACACCTTTTCACGTCCCGTCCAAATCCATTCCAGTCCATCCCCAGTCCATCCCACTGTCTTCCAATTCCTCCCAATCCCTCCAGTCCATCCCTAGTTCCTCCGTCCATTCCCAGTTCATTCCCAGTTCTTTCTCTGACTTCCACACTGTCTCGCTTTGCTGTGTACGCCTCCCATCTTTCTCGGTGCCACTCCAGTCCTTCCCAGTTCCTCCCAGTCCATCCCAGTCCCTGCCACCCCCTACAACTCAATTCCCAGTGTATTCCGAGTTCATTCCCAGCTCAATCTCAGATCTCCTCCCACTCTCACAGTACCCCCCATGCCCTCCCACCTGTCTCATTGCCCCCCCAGTTCCTCCCAGTCCATTCCCAGTCCATCCCAGTCGCTCCTAGTCCTTTCCCAGTCCATCCCAGTTCATTCCCAGTCCCACCTTTTACCATCCCAGTGCCATCCCACCCACATTAAGCCCATTCCCAGTCCATTCCCCATCCCTCCCAGTTCATTCCCAGTGCCTCCCAGTAACTCCAAGTGTATTCCCAGTTCATCAAATCCAGCACAGTCCCTCCCAGCCCATCCCAGTCCATTTCCAGTTAGCCCCAGTCTCTCCCAGTGCCCCCCCGCGCGTCCATTTCAGCGACGTGTGAAACCGACGCTTCTCAGCCAATCAGAATTCGCCGCGTAATGACTCACCTGTTGCTAGGGAGATCCGCAGCGCCGACTGCCCCGCGCTGGACTCGGCCTCCCAGCGCCGCGCGCTTCATTCCCAATTCCTCCCAGGGCCGGCAAAATCCCTCCCAGTGCCATCCCAGTCCCTCCCAGACCATCTCCAATTCCTCCCCAGTCCCTCCCAGTCCATTTCCAGTCTGTTCCCAGTCCATTCCCAGTTCACTCTCAGACCTCCACCCTTTCTCCCACTTCCGCCATTTCTCCTATCTCTCTTAGTGTCACCCCAGTTCCTCCCAGTCTATTCCCAGTCCCTCCCAGTCCGTCCCAGTCCACTCCCAGCCCACCCAGCCCTCCCCTCTCTCTCCCAGTGCCCCCCAGCTGATCCCAGTGTGTCCCCGCTCTCTCTCTCTCTCTCTCTGTCTCTGCCAGTGCCCCCCAGCGTGTCCATCTCGCTGGTGCCGGCCTCGAGCTCCCAGCCCGGCCCCGGCCGCCTGCTCTGCTCCGTGATGGATTTCTACCCTGCTGCCATCCAGGTGAGGTGGTTCCAGGGCCAGCAGGAGCTGTCGGAGCACGTGGTGGCCACGGACGTGGTGGCCAACGGGGACTGGAGCTACCAGCTGCTGGTGCTGCTGGAAACGCCGCCCCGGCGCGGGCTGAGCTACAGCTGCCAGGTGGAGCACGTCAGCCTGGAGCAGCCGCTGAGGCGGCACTGGGGTACGGGGGAGCCCCTGGGGGCGCTGGCAGAGGCGCTGGGCTGTGCTGGGAGGCACTGGGAGGGAGGTGGAGAGAGGCGGGCTGGGAGTGGGAGAGGGGCTGGGGGCTGGGCAAGGGCTGGGCAGGGGTTTGGGGGGTGCTGGGGAGGGTGGGATGGGGTTGGGAGTTGCTGGTGGGCACTGGGAGGGAGTTTGGGGGCGCTGGTTGTGACTGGGAGGGAGTTTGGGGGCGCTGGGTGTGACTGGGAGGGAGTTTGGGTGTGCTGGGTGTGACTGGGAGGGAGTTTGGGGGCGCTGGGTGTGACTGGGTGGGAGTTTGGGGGCGCTGGGTGTGACTGGGAGGGAGTTTGGGGCTCCTGGGGCGCTGGGGGCAACTGGAGGGGGCTGTGGGATGCTGAGAGGGACGGGAGGGGCTTTGGTGGCTCCTGTTGAGGCCCAAAAGGGATCGGGGGGAGGTTTCAGGGGGTCCCGGCCGGGCCGGGAGCCACAGGGAGGGCGCTGGGAGGGGCCGGGGGTGTCGGCGAGAGGTTTTGGGGGCGCTGAGCCCTGCGGACCCCGCAGAGATGGCGCCGGACGCCGGCCGCAGCAAGATGCTGACGGGCATCGGGGGCTTGGTCTTGGGCTCGGTCTTCGTGGCGCTGGGGCTCGGCTTCTACGTGCGCAAGAAGGTGAGGGCGGGTGCCGGGGGCGGCGTGGCCGCCGTGGCGGAGCCCCGTGCGCGCTCCCGCCGGGGCCCCCAGCCCGGTGTCACCCCCTTTTCTGTGCCCACAGAGCTCCTGAGGCGGCGGCGGCCGCAGCCCCTCCCCGCGGGCTCGGGCCCGGCCGGGACCCCCCGCTCCGTCCCCGCTGCGCTGATTCCGGGGGGGTCCCGTGTCCCCCCCAGCGCCGCTGGCGCTCTGCCCCCGCCCAGTGCCCGCTGCCAGCGCTCCCAATAAAGCTTCCCAGCTGGGCCCGGGGCCGTTTGTTGGGGGGCGCTGGGGAGGGGTCTGGGGGGGCGGGGGGCGATGGGACGGATTTGGGCAAAGGGAGGGGGAGAAAGGGTGGGGGCTGGGCCCGGGGGGAGCGGGAGGAGGAGGAGGAAGAGGAGGAGAAGGAGGTGGAGGAGCCGGAGAAGGATTTGGTGGGAGTAGAAATGTGGAGGGAGGAGGAGGAACCCAAAGAAGAGGAAGGAGAGCACAAGAGGACCGGCCGAAAGAGGATGACCCGAACGGGATTAATTTTAATCAATACATTTAATATTTTAGTAGTATTAAATATATAAATTAGTGCTATAATAATGTTACAATATTATAATGTAGGTTTACATAATTTCATTACAATTTAAATAGTAGTAAATAATTTCCACACTTAATATAAATGTGTTTCCAAAGTGGAGCGGTACAAAGGGGTACGAACAGAAAATTCCAGCGAACCCCAAATCCAGTACCCCCCCCAAAAGCCCCTCCCTTTGGACCCCCAAAATCGGGGGCAGGGTCAGGGCCAGCAGCGGCAGCAGCCGGGGGAGGCTCCGCGCTCCGTCCGTGGCGCTCCGGGCACACCGGGCAGGGTCGGTGCTGCTCCCAGGAACGCGGATCCGAACTGGGGGCACTGGGAACGAGGGAGCAGCAGCCCAAAATGCGCTCAGCCAATGGGAGAGCGGAGTTTAATGAGGCCGGGTAGAGGGTGTTGGCGGGTAGAGGATTAATAGTTTG